TTGGAATACCTAAAAAGGGTTCTACAACTTGCCCAGTGAAATAGGCCTCGTGCAAAGCCTTTAGAGTATAGGACCTTAGGTGGAATCCTGAGTCCCATCCACAACCTTGTGAGGTGAGACATTTCCACTAGAAAGGACAAGCAGACTGAACAGCTAGTGACAGAAGATACATCTTCATGATGAACCTGACGTATACTCAGAGCGGTAGTTACTCTAAATACCAACAGAGAGGGAAAGAGTCTTCAAATCAAGTATCAATGCTATCTGCTCTATATACAGGGTAGATAGGGACGGGCAACTTAAGACACTGGCTATCTAAAATGAGGGGGCAATAAAGGCACAAAGTGACTGGCTTACAAGGTTTCAAGAGGGAGCTTAGTTTAAGAGTATGGGGGTAAAGAAAGAGTCCCCACTGAATAGCTATCATCTTGTCTAGATGGGTCTGGTGAAATGAGATGGGGATAAGATTCATAAGATTCAATAGTAAATAGCTGTTACCATGACTAATCGCAACTGTCACACTTGTAAAGGTAAAAGTTTTGTAACAAAAAAAGGGGAGTGGTTGATCTTACAGTCCAGAAAGAGAGGACCCTAGGACCATCAAGTGAGGAACGCACAAGCAGAATGCAGGACCTTATCCAGAGAAGCAGCAGCACCAGAGATGGAGGCAGAGATGGGGTCATGGAGAAGGGGAGTAGCTGAGGACTCTAGATTCATTAACTAATAAGAGAAGGACTAAGAGCTGGTGGCCAGGAGCAGACTTGTAGAATGTGCCCTTTGGAGATGTAAATTATTATATATGCCTGAGTGGGTTTTTTTGTTTGTGTGTTTTTTAAAAAGCTAAAGTGGATAGAGAGAAATACTTTTAACTGATGGAATATGGAGGGGATTATAATCAATGTAATGAAACAAGTTATATGAATTGTTGAATGTGAAACTACTGATGATGTGCCCTGTAAACTTTCACTCAATCCACAATAAAAACCTTAAATAAAAAAAAAAAATCAATAAAAAGTTTTAAAGTATCTAAAAAATCTACCAAAAAAACCCATGATTTTTAAAAGTATATATACACATATACATGAACTCAAGCAAATTAAAATAGCAAAAGAGGGAACTAGTTCCCAAAGACTTGAGGAATTTCCCCAGAATGTAACACAAAGGAATAAAAAGAAATTTTGACACCATCGTTAAATATAAATCTAATAGGAGTACAAGCTGGACGAGATCCAATAGTCAGAAGTAAAGGATGGGACTATTCCAGCATTGACAGAGATGAGACAGGTACAAAAAGGAATGAGTCCCAAGAAGAAATAAGTACAATTTTACGTACACTTAGCAGCCTACAACTACTTTGTTTCCTAGAGTTGACAGTGGTCCCATTCCCCCAAAGAAGGATGAAGTGATTTGCATCAGGTTAAAAGCTGATGAATGGAGATGGAAATAATCCATGTAGGACACAATCTGAATATGTTATATTTTAAGGGTTATGTATGGGTAAGACGAGCAAAGTAATCACTTGATATTAATTTCCCCGCTGTTGCCATCATTTATCCACAGCCACCTGGAGATCTTCTTCTTGATGGACAGCATTCAACTCGCCCAGTGAAAACATGGAGACATCACTGATTCAAGTACCACGCAGTCCGTGGTATTTAATGAACAGTAAAACCAAAAAAAAAGCTGCTCACATGCACTGGAGAAAACTAGTTTCCAGACAAGCCTTCTATTTAAATTTCTCAAGGCTATAATCTTCGTCTGTTAAAACGTTTCAACATTTTCAAGTGCTTTCTGAGCCACATTTCTTCTAGTATATTCATCAATGCTATAAGGCAAATTCCTTTCTTCCTTTGAAACCAAACAATCCAACATTTAATTGAACTTCAAGGCCATGATGAATATGACACAGATTTCAAGATGGTCAGAGGCACAAACTGCAGGGCAGACCTGATACTCATCAGCCTTCTAAAACACATAAACACTACATTGTTTCTGATGACAGGTCAGTGGTCTTCATCAATGTTAGTGTCTAAGGAACAATCGAGCTAGTACAAGAAACATGAGCTTTTGTGTTAGTGTCACTGCATCAGTTCTGACTCATAGTGACCCTGTGTAGGGTTTTTTAGGAGCAGCTAGTAGTCCAGTGCTTGTCCACAGCAGCACACCAGGGCTCCAAATGTAAGCTTAGCCCTTATTTAAGTTTCACAATTTTGAAGCAATGAAGAGCACATCTGAATTACCTTAATGATCACAGATTTTAAAGCCTTTCATTAATATCCCATCATCAATTTTGACAACTTCGAAATTAGGACAAGATTTTTTTTTATATACAACTAAAACAACAACAAAACAGAAAAACAACCTTAGTGTCAAAAGCAAGTAACAGGATGTTCCAAGTTGAAACATTTTCAGGAATCTCTAGTATTCTTTGGAAAATAACTTAATCATGCCATGGAGATCTTGACCTAGAAATACAAAGGAACAGATATTTTCTAATTTTATTAAACTGGGAGGAAAAAGTTAGTACTTAAATGCCAGTCAGGAGAAAACGAATATTATTTTAAAGATGACTTCTTCAATTTTCAGAGCTTCTTAATTAGTTTCTGCAGCTTATAAGAATTAAGAATAATAATTTAAGTTTCAATAAACTTTATTCAAACTCAAATCTGACAACTATAAAAGGGGGAGAATTATAAAAATTAGCAAATTTAATTAACAAAATGAAAAATAAAACCAAAATAAAAAAGACACCAAGCTATGAAAAAATCCTTCTATTAAGTACTTCCTGCATAAAGAACTCAATCAAATATATAAAGAATGCATAAAAATTCTCATTTATACAAATGAGCACAGTACACAGACAAGTCGCACAATGGAAATACTAATTGTGAATTAAAATGAGAACAATATGGTCATGCTAGCTAGAAATCAAAGAATAACAAATTAAAGCAATTCTGAACTTTCCTATGTTTACTACTATTAGTGACAATGTTTAAACCTCCCACCCGAACCTGCAAACTTGTAGCGAAACTGATATACTAGAATGATGATATTAAAATATCACTCTTTTGTGAAAAATAAGGCAAAAATATTTAGAATTCCCAAAGTGATCAAACTATCCACTTAATAATCCCACCCCAGGAATTGATTCTAATAAATTGAAAGGTTATTGAAGTATATTCAGCAATAGGGAAACGGTTTCAATTGTATTCTGTGAGGATAAAATAATGTGACTCAAATAACTACTACCAAACCGAAATACAAATAAAGAGTTGGCTAAATCAAATGAAAACTGCAAGGACCGTAAGACTACAAGCCATTGAAAAACACAGAGGAAATGATACAAATTTAAGGGTTACGGCGAGTTTTTTTTTTTGGCCAAATTTCTCCCGGTATTTTCAATAAAAAATAAAAAAAATTGGTTATCATTTTAAAAAGCCAATTGTCTTCCCCCAAAATTTCTGCTCTTCCCCATTAGCATGTGACACACTAGTTCGTTAAGTTGAGAACTAGTGCAGAAACTGTTGTTTTCTAAAATCTATTTGGACTGTGCCTAGCAATGCACAGGAGGCACTATAACCGCCCTTTCTACCAACAGGCAGACACTGCCATCTCTTCCTGACAAAAACCACTTTGACAGGACCCAGGAAAAGGAAAACAGGCCCACCCACCCACCCCGCCCCCTCACAGCTGGATGTTTGCTATTTTATGTTAATATATCACAATATCAACCTCTTCTAAAGAACTAGTCTAAATAGTTTCACTTAAAATACATTAATATGCTGAAAATGCTCAAGTGACGCATATAGCTTATTACATGGAATCTGTATTAGATTAACCACAAACAAAATCCCTTTTCCTTTACATATTTAAATTGTTTAAAGTTAGAAGCTGCTAACAGGCAACCATCTTTAGCCAAGTCAATCCATAAAAACAAGAAAATCCTATTTTATGAAATTTTCAATGACTTTTCCTTTTGAAATTACATTTGAAAAAAGAAGGATTTGGACTTTTCTACAGGTTGACTATGTATTATTTTCCTTTAACAAAAATGCAAAGCATATTTTATATGAAATTTTTACAAGTGTGTTAATTATGACAAAGAGGGTTCAGGAACTTCTAATCGACTATCTGAAGGAAAACGTTTGAGAACAGTTATTAATTATTTAGAGCAGAAGAGATGAACTGAAAATGCAGGACAGCTATCTCAGTCTATAAATATCACTTGAAACAGCAAACTACAAAACGATGTCAGGGGATCAATGGCTTACAGAGACATGAAGCAACTGCTAAAGGATGGAGAAAGATTTTTTAATTCAAGACCTATTCTTTAGCTTAACTTTAAAATACTATGGTATTTAATAACTTGGTAAAAAATGGTCAACTGTGTTTGATGAAACTACCAGAAAGAGATCTCATAGCTGCCACAATATAAGCCACTGGAGCTTAGAAAGGTGAACTGAATTAAACATTTAGTCTTTTGCTAATAACCTGCTAGTGGTAGCAATAATAATTTGGTTCACTTACAAATATTTATTACAAAAATTTATTTGTTTTTAAGATTTAAACAAACACAGCTATTACTAGATGAGTGCAGTCTACCAAAGAAATGTTCTTAATAAAAATAAACTCTTCAAAACACAGAGTTGAATGATAGCCATTTCAAACATAGTGAAAACAAGAATTTCGATACAATATAGCATCACTAGGAAGTCAAAATAAAGTCAATAACACTAAATTACATTCACTTTTATGAAACCAAAGTCACATGTAACTCTGTATTTCTTTTTTTCTGATTAGAAAATCTGCTGTTTTCACAGAAGACTTCTGAAGGGAAAGCAAATTCAGAAATAACATTAAAAACATCCTAAACGAACATTCTGTATTATAGCACAGAAATGAACAATTGTAAAGCCATTTTCAATGCCTAGCAGACAAACTGTACCCTACAGAAATGAAAAGTAATGGATACACTCCTTCATGCAGGGGAGGAAAGAAAGCCAGGCCAATCTTAACATGTCTGAATTGCATCATCTCCCTTAACCTCATTTAATGATATACACTCGCAGCTCAAAGCGGGTTCCTTCGACTCCTCAGGTTTGGGCTTTTTAAGTCCTGGCTCTGCTGGGAGAAGTGCCGAGCAGAGCTCCAGAGCCTGTGCAATGTCATCAATGGTCCACTTCTCCTCAGGCAGGGCATGGTCTTCCAGTGTAAAGGGCCCCTGTTGGGTTCGCGTCAGCTCCAGCACATTGGCGCAGGACGAGAGCTCTACAGCAACAAAAGAGGAAAAGCAATCCACCAGACAGTCTGTTGTTACCTGTCCAATCACAGAACAACTCAATTTAAACCCCTCAAAATCACCCTAACAAGTCAGAACCAAGAGCCTTGAGATTAAAAAGCAATTAAGAAGCAAAAGGCTTACAAATTTCTTTAATGTCTCTACAAAGAACTTATACACATTTTTCTTATTGTCTTCACTTTGCAAATGAAGTAACATGGCCTGTCCAATGACAAGAGTCAGAACTGCAACTTTCTGGCTATTTGTGAGACTATCACTTGCAGGATTTTTTTTTTTTTTTAAATTTATGTGTATTAATGAAAAGAACTTTAGGTGGAATTTTTTTTTCCTGATCTCTACCCTGAGTCAAGATATTTTGTACTTGAAAAAAAATCTAGGTCTTTATAATCATTACCACCATTTTCTGATCCTTTTTCTCTTCTCCCCCATTACAAGCACTTCACTGCAGCTGCTGATGCTGGTAATTGCATGCCATAAACCTACAAGGCTTCTAAAGCTGAAGGCAGCAAGAGTTCAGCTCCTGAGGCAAGTATTCAGAGATACGGAAAACAGAAAATTGTCCCTTCTCATCAAAAAGGAATATGACTCTCTAAAGGATAATTCATAATTCATTTTCATACTTACCTTTGCCAATGTCACTGACCAAGCTTCTGATATAGAATCCTCCTCCACATTCAACATCTGGAATGTTAACAGTGACATGGTAAATTGCCAACCTCCCATGAAATCCACTTTACATAGAAATGATGCCCCTAAACAAATGTAAAAATGCACTAGGCAAACAATCAAGTGATAAAATATTTATGTGCTAAAACATAAATTATTCATCCAGTAGCATATGTGTTTGTGAGATTGAAAAGTCAGAGTGTGGAGAAAGCAAACAGCAGAAACTCATGAACACATTTTAAATTAACTGGCAAGTCAAAGCACTTTAATACTTCAGCCTTGTTCATTTAATAGATTTTTAATGGCAGAAATCTCAGCTTTGCTATCATGAGCTGCAGATTTTCTAAAATATTCAGATTTGTACACTCAAAAACACAACACACAAACAAAGAAAAATCTTTTCAAAGTGACAAGAATGATGTTTAAGGTAAAATATTACACCAAGATTTCAGCATATTAAATGTTCTCTTGGAAATATTCCTGAACATACCAATAATCACTGAAATGATAAACTGTCCCAAAACTGAACACATACCTAAATATCTGCTTAACACAGAGTATAGGAAAAGTGGATTGGTTGGTAGCAAGACTCTGAGTCACTGAGAGTTCCTGAAGTTGATGCAGCCTGGGACTAGAGAACACCACTCTTCTGATTCCTGTTACTCATCTACAAGCATCTTCTGAAAAGAGATGCTACATCCCCACTCAAAGGACTATGTCCTGTCCCAGCTGCTTACGGTCTTATCAAACCAAGACAGCCATTTGGGGGCACTTAATCAAAGCTCTTTGATTTGCTCATCAGCTCAGGATTACAGAGCACTAGGATCTGTACTATAGTGTGCTAACTAACTAGCATTCCTGCATTATATTTGGCTTTGGTGAAAGCCCAGCCCTCTGGGCCTGTTATAATCTTTAGTCAACAAACTAAAAACGTGTATGACTTCAATGCACTTGGAGAAATCTGGGTTTACCTTACTTTAAAAGATACTATCTACTCTGTTGCTGCATTTTCACGGAATGGAGCAAAGAATTTTTTAGAGCATTTTTTATCATTATCTGCCAAATAGTTTGGACTCAGGAAACAATTAGTGACTTTTAAAAATTGCCCAGTATCACATTCTACAGGAATTTAAAATCCATTAAATAATAATGCCAATTGAAATGACTAATAACTAAAACCACATATTCACCGATAGCAACCCTGCAGGCCACAGTAGAACTGCCCCCCACCACCACCCCAGGGTTCCCAAGGCTGCACTTCTTTAAGGAAGCAAACACTTCCAGCGCTTTCTCCCACAAAGTGGCTGCTGAGTTTGAACTGCCCTTAATATTAGTAGCTGAGAACTTAAATCACTGCAACACTAGATTTCCTTAAAAGAAGACAAGTTTAGAAGAAAAAACATTTTGGGAAATTATTTCTATAGTGTATCCTATCTTATATGCATCAAGAAAAGAAGGGTAGGACCAACGTAAGGAAGTCAAGGACTCAGAAGTTCTGTTTTTGAGTCTTCACAGCTCTTTTAAGTACAGGCCTTCAGCTACTTTCTTTCAGCAGCCAGGAAAATCATAAAGTTTCCAATTAATAGAAACAAACGTCTTTAGTTTAAAACTTTATTTCAAACACAAAAAACCCACTGTCATTGAGTTGATCCCAACACTTAGTGTCTGTCTGTCCAGGGCAGCAGAGAAATGCTTCATAGGGTTTTTCAAAGCTGTAAATCTTTATAGAGAAGTGAATTGTCTCATATTGCACCCATGGAGTGGCTGGTGGGTTTGAACTGCCATTCTTTCTGTTAGCAGTTCAATACTTAACCCACTGTGCCACCAGGGCTCCTATTTGTTGTTGTTAAGTGCCATCCAGTCGATTCCGACCCATAGCGACCCTGTATAGGGTTTCCAAGGAGCAGCTGGCAAGCTTGAACCACTGACCTTACAGTTCAAATGACTTTGCAGTCTGACGCATTAGCTCACAGAACCATACCAGGACTCCAGAGCTCCTATATAGATTATCTATAAATTCTAATTGGTATTCTGAATTAAAATCAACCATATAGCCAAGAATTCATTTCTGTCTTACCCATAACACCAAGAACAATTCTTCCTCTCTCCCAGAGATGGAAGACCACAGTACTCCCGACTTCACAGTGTAAGATACCCTAGTGAAGCCCTACAAGATCAGCACTGGACTCTAACCACACAGTCGGCTGTTCAAACAAACCCCGTATAGGGTTTCCAAGGTGGGGCTCAAACCACAGACTTCGTGGTTCCCAGTCAAGTGCTTACCCTACAGAGTCACTGGACACCCTCCAATGTCCTAGATGTGCACTGAAAATTACAAAAAAATAGTTAAGTACAGTATGAAGGCACACACAAATATGAATTCTTTCAAACTTCTTACCTAGTGTGAAAAATGGTGGCTGGAATTTCTGAAGGGAAATACTGTACACAGTAACTGGCCTGGCAGGTTTTGCTTCTACTGCTTCACCTCTCTTCATCAACGTTGAAAGTCTCTGTCCATCTTTCTTTAATGCCGAATAGCTTTCAACATGAGCGAGAGACTAAGTTCAGATTACATCATGGAAATACAGTATAACTAGCAACCTTTCAAGGTACTGCTTTCTCAGTGCTGGAGACCCAGGTTTGATTTCCTACACAAAGCCACCACTCATCTGTCAGTTCTGTCACACCGTGGTGGCTTGTGTGTTATTAGGATGCTGGGCAGGTTTCAATGGAGTATTCAGACTCAAACAGACTAAGGAAGCTAAGACCATCCACCTCCAGAAATCAGCCTAGAAAACCCTATGGATCTGATGGATGATGGGGATGGCTCAGGACCAGGTAGGACTTTGTTCTGCTGTGGGTGAGAGCACCACAAGCCAGAGCCAACAACAGGCAACTAACAACAACAAATCTTCATATTGAAAATCCTTCTTAAAAAACGGATGTATTTTTTTCTTCCAATCTACTTCACAGTGGTCTCAGACGCTAGTATATCTCATCCCAGCATTAAATGAGCAATGTTTGTCTCATGAATCTTTCATCTTTAACAGTCTCCCTGGAGATGGTCTTATTTATGTCTTCTCTCCACTCCGCTTCATTCTGGGTAAGAGAACAGGGGACTGAGTAGCCCCTGGTCACAATGAGCAGAGCTGGATTCTCTTGAAACAATTTTCACTACAGTAATGTTAATTTTCATATAAAAACAACCAAAACATTTCCAAAAAGTAAGTTAGCAAATATTCTACTTAAAAGATCTTTAGCTTTGTATGATAAGGTTATTAGACACAAAACCATGGAACAATTATGAAGATGAACATTCTAAAATGATCAGAATTAGTGATCCAAAATAACATTTATACAGACCTGGCTACATTTTAAAATTCTTCACATATAAGGCCAAATCACCAAGAAATGGTTCTCCATTAGATATTTAAAATACTCTTAAGGAAACCAAGGTATTTTAATACAAAATAAAAAGTACATTCAGAATGTAATGTCAGCATCTCATTCTGAGGCATTATATAGCTATTTAAAGACAGCAACAACAAAAGAAGTGATTTGTTTGAATAGTAATGTACACAAAAATGTGGCATCAATATCCCTTACAATGCTAATAAATCACAAGTCTCATGAAGGAGAAAAAATTATGGGCCCAAAAAGAATGGACCCCACACCTGGAAGGCAGCATACATAAGGACATGGGTGCACATCTGTAACATATCCCTTCTTCACAGCACCTCTGTGGGCTCCAGCACACAGCCTGATGCCTCCTGACCCACAGCTAGTGAGTCAATTCCAACTTAAGGCACCCTACCTACAGGACAAAGCAGAACTATCCCACAGGTTTCTGAGGCTGAAATGCAGTATAAAGCAGACTGCCTCATCTTTCCCCCACGGAGCAGGCCGCTGCTTCTAAACTGTGGTTAGCAGCCCAAAGCTTAATCCCCTGCACCACCTGGGCTCCTTCTAATGTCTGTAAACAGAATAAAAACCCTGTAAACACTGAACTAGCATAGATGCCCAGCTGTGGCAGCAGCATCTAGGGGCAGAGACCACACACTTCACTGACATTTAGTCTCGCAAGCTCGGCGTCCTGTCTGAGCAGATTCACCTTTATCTGATGGTTTTGCTGGGTTCAATTGATAGCCAGCCTCACAGTATAGTACAAAGAAGCCATTAATTCTCACTCAAGTGATTTTCACCATCCCCAGCTGTTAGAAGATGACTCTGCCTCATGCTGACCCCAGCGTGCCAGAGGAGAACCATGCTGCACAGCATGTCCACTGGCTGAATTCAGACACAGATCACCAGGCCTTTTTGAAAGGCCCCTCATGACAGACTCCAACCCTGAACCTTTTGTGTAGTGAGTGAGCACACGAACCGTTTGCACCAATTACTCAAATTCAATGATGGAACTTACAGGGGGGGTACTTGCATTATATTCCCAGTAAATTTCTGTAGAATACCTTCAATATCTTCTTGTGTTATTTTATCTGTCAAAGATGATGAAAAAAAAAAAATGACAGTGAATCAACCAGAGATGCACATATGCTATTTATATTATACCAATAATTCAGACAGTTTAGCTTAAAAAAATTCTAACCAAGTGTGTACTACGGTGTGTGGTTTACAGGCCAAGTTCACTCTTGTTGAAATTAATAAAACATAAGCAGTGATGAGATCAAAGGGGTAAAAGTGTCCATTATCCAACATCAAGACAAGATTCCCTTGGCTTCATCTCCTCCTCTCCTAATGTAAATGAACCCATCACCTCCAATGCATTTAGGTGTCTGTTACTATGGCCTTTAGAAGACCAGAGAAGGTATCCGATAATCAGGTGATTCGAAAGGTAGAAAACTAACACCTATAAATTCTATAATAAGCACTGGACTGTGAACCACAAGGTCTGTGGGTCAAGTCCGCGGGAGAAATTTGAGGCTTTCTGTTCCTGTAAAGATTTAAAAAGCCTCAGAAACCCTAGACAGGGTCGCTATGAGTTTGAACTGACTCGAAGGCACTTCACAACAACAGCTGTGTGTAATATGGTACTAAAGATTATCAAGTGTCTCCCACATTTTGGACTTCTGGTATGGCACTGTAGGAAAAGCACTGGACTTTGAACCACAAGGTTGGCAGTTCAAATTCACTAGCTGCTCCTCAGAAATCCTATAAAGGGTCGTGGGTCGTGATGAGTCAGAACCGACTCAATGACACTTAAGAACAACATCCCCATTTTAATTTTTAATTGATAGTTTTCAAAATTATTCAATTATACATTTTACACACTCACATTCAACTTTGTCACCAAGTAATGTTTTATTTATTTACTTACAATCCTCCTCTTGGCTACTGAAATTTCTGTTCTTCTAAATGAACACTCATTTAGGAATCTGACTTTTACTTCAAAATGGGTCAACACAAGAGAATCTAACACAGCACTGCTTCAGTGTGCTTACTAAGCATGTTTTAAGCAGCAATTTTTAAATATAAATAAAGCTTTCAATCTGTCACTTAATCACCATTTCACTTACTGTCTGATACTCTTTCACAGAATAGATGCTCTATTAGAGTACACTTCAAACCCACCAGCTGTTCCTCGGAACCAACTCAACGGGACTTAACAATTATTCATCTGGTACATACCAGTTACAGTCTGATTTTATGTGAGCAATATTAAACAAGGACTAATTAATGTGCTTGGAACACTGCTCTAATGCCAGAACTGACATGAAAAAGCCAGCATGGAATACTGCATCCAGATATGAACATCACCACAGCACAACCAGTTTTGACCTCAGAGTGTCCTTGATCCTTACAGCTAAGCACGAACAAAAGACCACAATCTACTGGCCTCAGACTAGGATAGAGAAGACTCAGGAATTTCTCCAGGCACCTAACGGCTTCACAAAGACACCTCTCAGTCTGATGACTTTTCTGTTCACACTACTTCTCCAACAGATGCCATCTCATGACAGAAATGAGAAGAATTGTTCCATACAAAAAAATCCTTGTACTACTGCAGATTAAAAACGTACTGACTGGTGGCACCACCTTAGTTATGCAAATCTAAGCTGCCCAGTTCTAGACAGCCAATGCCTCCACTGGGCAGAGAACTGTTGAAAATGCTATGAGTGATAAAATTAAAACAGTTAATAATTTAGCCAGCTACACATTTTAAAAACAAGACAAAACATCTTTCTACTGCTCGGCTGCTCTCTCTACTGGCACTGCTGTAAACGTGACTGACTCCTTTGTCTTGCTTAGGTGGCTTGGTTTTACCTATCCTCCTTCCTACAAGCTGACAGGAGCGTTCGTTTTCTTGCTCCACCTTCCAGAATCTACCCACCAAGCAAAGTCAGGATGTCTCTTTCTCTCACTTAATATCACAGGCACTTAGAGTTTGACTAGTCATTCTGAAATTAATATGTAATTTTTAACCATTACCTATTTATGTAACTATTATCTCAAATGAAATTCTAAGCTCCTAAAAGACAGCTTTTCTTATTACATATTGTATACAATTAAATGGTATTCAAAACATTCCTGCTGACTTGAATTTGTTGAGTAATAGAATCTCAGGTTGAGAGAGCATTTAAAAGTTATGTAGGCCAATCATCTGAGTCACTATACTGAAAGCCTATGAAGTTAATTTATAGTAACAGCTATACTGTCTTATCATATGATCCAGTACTTCCACTTGTATGCATGTTGTTGTTGTTGTTAAGTGCCTTCGAGTCGGTTCCGACCCATAGCGACCCTGTACAGGTTTTCCGAGGGTGTAAATCCTTACTGGAGTAGAAAGCCTCATCTTTCTCCGGCGAAGCAGCTGGTAGTTTCGAACCGCTGACCTTAACGTTCGCAGCCCGATTCGTAACCACTACGCTACCAGAGCTCCTTCAAAAGAATTAAAATGTATACTGTTGTTGTTTAGTGCCATCGAGTCAGTTCCAACTCACGGCGATTCTGTATGCTAGGGGCTTCAAAATGTTCATGGGCAAATGGATTAAGAAGATAATGCAATTTTTCCATGTACTTTTTGAAGTCTCCTCATATTCATGCAAAAATCTGTATACAGATGTTCACAGGAATCAAAAGGTGGAAACAACCTAAATGTGGCAGAGCCACACAGTACAATATAACTGATCATAAAAAAGAATGATGCTTTAGAACATGTCACAATATGTGAGCCTTAAAAACATTATGCTAAGTGGAAGATGCCAGACACAAAGGGTCACCTACTATATGCTTCCACAGATATGAAATGTTCAGGACAGCTAAGTCCACAGACAGAAAACAGGTCCATGGAAGCAGGTGCTGACAGAAGGAACACACACTGGAGAAGAACTACTGAATGGAGATGAACAAAATGTTATGACTAGAATGTAAGCCAATTAACTGTACAACACTTGAAAATGGTGAATTTTATCAATGGATAAAAAACAAAAATATTATTGTGGGTGGGAGATATATACACGAGTATGTACTGAAGCATGCTGGCTAGCTTTAGATCATGGTATTAACTAACCCAAGTGACAACCAGTATTCCTCCAAAGGATTAGGATAAGGAATCTGCCACCAAAGGATGAAAAAAAAGAATATCTAGTAACAGCCAAATGACAAACATCTAGTGAAAGAAGAAGGCTATGGCACAAGCATCAGAGAACCTGAAATAATTCTTCTTTAAGAAATTAATAAATGATCAATGTGAAAGTATCCATATGAAGCTGATTTTTAATCCTTATGAAATTAAGACAGACAAAATCATTTTACACATGAATATTTGTTTTAAATTTACTGATTCTTTCTGAGAACCTATAACTGAACGGTCAGTACTTGATTGAACTATGGTTATGGAGTTAAAAACAATAGTCAAACATGTTAAGAGTAACAGGTACCTGACAAGTCCTACCTACCACCACATAAGCAGCTTTTAAACAACACAAAACATTACCAGACAACTGTTTCAGGCATTAGACAACAGCTTAGGGCTATAACCCCTGAGAGAAGGGAGACAAAGCAGGGGAGCCCTCAGATCATGCTGTCTGTCTGCCTGGTAGCACTTTCTGAATGGTAGTAGATGGAGGGGGAACGGAAACAACTAAACACTGATCCTGGTAAATTTAGGAAAGAGATCAGAGTTTGGAGAAGAAGCAACAGCAGCAATCTGAGGGAATTACACCAAGAAAAACATTCAAAACCAAACATAGGCATACATGTTGTTGCTGTTAAGTTCCATCAAGTCAGTTCCAACTCACAGTGAGCCTGTCTAGGACTTTTGAGGAGCAGCTGATGGGTTTGAACCACCAATCTTGCGGTCAGCAATCTAGTGCTTATCCTACAGCACCACACCAGGGCTCCCAAGTTAGTCTGCATTTGTACATCAAATTGTGTCAGCGCCGCTAAACAGTGATCTATATGTTAGGCAAACACAGACAATCGTTTAGTCACATGGATGCAAAGCCAAGTTGAGAAAAGACAGCTTTTCAACAATTGATACCAACACAATCTACTATCCATATACAAATAAGTGAACTCAGATTCATACTGCAAACCACACATCAACATGAGTTCTACATGGACCATAAAGGGAGAGATGACAAAGGAGGATGAGGAAGCTTTGTAGGCAATTTATGTGTTCTATACCTTGAGCGTTGGGGTCCTGGTGTAACACTGTGGGTTAATGCACTGGACTACAAAGTCGGTTTGAACCACAAGGTCAGTGGTTCAAATTCACCAGCTGCTCCACAGAAACCGTGTACAGGGTCACTATGGGTTGGAACTGACTCGATGGCACTTAACAACAACAACCTTGAGTGTGGTAATAGCTTTATAGGTGAATGCCAATGTCAAAACTTACCAAACTGTACACTGTAAATATGTGCAATTTTTTGTACATCCAGAGAGATGTTGATTAAATCTCAAGAAAGGTGTTTTTAAAAATAAATGGGGTTTCAGAATTAGACTGGAGTAACATGTGGCATTACAATGTGGCGCTGTAGGATTAGTACTGGACTGTGAACAAGGTCGACAGTTCAAACTCATCAGCCACTCCTTGGAAACCCTTTGAGTTGGAATCGACTTGACAGCACTTAACAATTACAACAATATGTTGCTGTCACGTCCCTGGTGGGGTTACGTCGGAGGGTCTTTTTACTCTTTAAGAGGCACACTTTGGTATGGGGGTGGGAGGAGCTGCAGTTTGCTCTTGGTGGTTCAGGAAAAATTATTTTCCTCTATTCTTATAACTTTCCTCTAAATTTGAAATTTCAAAACAAAGAGTAAGATCATATGGAGCTATTATGAGCAACTTTATACCAATGAGTTTGAAATTTTGACGAGACATACACATTCCTCCTAGAGGAAAACATTATCTAGAATGATACAAGAAAGTGTCCAAAAATTTGGTAACTAGTAAGAAATCCAAAATATAATAAAAAACCTTCCTAACAGAGTAAACCCCAGAATAGATGTCTATCAATGAATTCAGCTGAAC